AGAAAAAGAAATGTGACAAACAAGAACCAAAGCAGAATAACAAAATAACAAAAACAGCCAGACACATAATATTCAAAATCCCATTTAAACAAACAAAACAAAACAGAAAATAACAAAATTCAAAGAGAGAGTGACTTCCACAAATTTCTGGGAAAAAGACTACATCTTTGAACTAAATATCAACTCAGCCCCACCCACCCACCCACCCGTCTTTAGTTTAGAAAACTACAGAGAGTTTTACTGCGTCAACACGAGTTGAGTGCCTCAAGGAATCTGAACAAGATCTACGACACCGAACTTTGGTTTTAGTAGTAAGGTTATACAGCACTCGGAACTGCATGAGGTCATATGAGCGCCAAACACTGAACCCTACACTACCTATGGGTGGGCCACTGTAATGTGACCTCATCGACCTTTGGGGTCGTTGTACTGTGTGACCTCAGCAACTTTTGGGGTCATAATTTCAACGTGACCTTCATGGCCTCTATGTCATCATACAGTATGTGACCTCGCTGACCTATGAGTCACTGCATATGTGACCTTGCTGACCTTCGCATCAGCGTATAATGTGATCTCACCGCAAGTTATGTCTCTGGATGACCTATCGAGTCCTTGAATGTGACCCAACTGACCTCCGCGGTCACGGTAATAGGACCTCGTAAACCTAGGAATCACTGCGAAGTGATTTTGGGGCTGCTGTAATGCGACCTCGTAGTTATCTGACCCCTCTGACCTCAGAAGTGACTACGAGTTTACTAAGAGCAGAACTCGTCGCTTTCTTTGATAAATGAAGGTAACCGGAACAGGAACTTTTCGTTAGTGTCAAAGCTTTAGACAAACCTTCAGTCAATATTTTCATTAGTTTAAATCGAAAGAATGAAAAATCAAATAAATAAATTAGGCTACAATATAGAAATCAACAGGTAAAAACTCAACTTTTAAAAAAAGGGGGTCCCAAATGTTCTTCAACTTTATACTTTTCTATTCCTCGACCGATAACAAAGACTATCTCACTTTTAGAAAATAATCGTAGAAATAAAAACCAGGTGATTACACTTAAATGATGCAGTTTGACAACACCTACCAAAAAAACAAAACATATGGAGGAGGGGGACGAATAAAACAAAAACAGATGCGACTGTCGTGGGGGGG